GCGAAGGCAAGTTGAAGATGAAAATACGCAGTTGACTAGGAGAATAAGTTAGCTGGAACCGATTTGTATGGACAGCTGATCATACGTTATTCCGCATGTGCTAATGTCAGTGCGTAATTGAACTATATAAGAGCACTATGATAATTACTGGAGCGAGTAAGAATCTCTTGAATAAAATTTAAAAGTGTTCAAGTGTTGCGTGAGAATATTCTTCAGCTTGAATTCATTTTGTATTTTTTGGGTTATTTGATTCCACCGTGCAGTGAGATAAGGTAATTTTGATCAGGTGTTCAAATGACAGAGTAGGGGTGATTTTCCCGCCATAAGGTTTAATTTCACGATCGTGTTATTTCGTAATCCAATTAACATTCTGTGGACATTCCTTCATCCCTTAAATATATCGCATTATGAGTATCTTATCAGCCATCGATATCAGCATTAATCGATGGTCTTACTTATGATTACCTATGATTATTGATTATCGATCAGATTTGTTAATCGAACAAGATTTATCGTGTCATTGCCAACAGGAATCGTGAAATATGGAAGAAAAGTATCGATTATAAAATATGATGTTTAGTTCGGTTATTCCTTGTATTTGATAAGAATTTTCAACATGATTGATATTTAATTAATTATCGATAGAATTGATTAATCATCGAAGTATAATGATCGTGTCACTGTCAAAAGAAATCATGAAATATGAAAGAAAACCATTAATTACGAAATATGAAATTTAATTTCGTTATATTACTCGTCTTTGATCAGAATTTTCAACATGATTGATATTTGAATAATTATTAAAAAGTTTGAAAGGTAGTTAGTAGTTCCATTCAAATTGTTTTGTTTTAAATTAACCAAAATGTCAGCTTACTAAGGAACATTCACACTGAGATTGTGACAAGTAATCTAGAAAAATTCCAGCAAGTTCAAATGCAGTGTGTTAAATAAATAATCATTAATACGAAATTAATAAGAGTAAACACAGTTTCTCCGAGCTATTAGCGATAATATTAATTGCCAGCGACTGGTGATTGGCGATAACGATGCCTTGGCCGCGAAGGGGTTGAAAACCGTTTCACGAGCGAATACAGATTACGGCGTTCTCGATTGACGAATTATCTCTGAATAGACCGATTACTCGACCCTCACGTTCCGAATAGAAACAGCAAATGGGTCGAATTCAACCTTACCCGTCGACGATGATTGCCCCAATTTCAGTTTCACGTTTTAATAAATCAACGGCATTGAAGTGATGAAAAGATTTCGACGCACGTGACCGGAGGCAAACTCAAGGATGAATGTTACGATGGGCATTATGGCATCATGGTAAACATCCATTATTGTATTACATAGCGGGCGACGGAAGCGTTGGGTGACATTGCTTTGCACAGTCTTCGGGACAACGTGGAAGACTCGTGCTCACCGGAATGCTGGTGCTAAGGAACTACTGTTTGACTAACGCAAATATGTACTTCGTCATGGAAATCGATAACCTTGTTCAAGGAACGCCATGAACTCACAACTACACCAGAACTTCTTTTATGCGAACGTTCTATTGCATGAAATTAAGTGAATTTCCAGCATTCTAACTGTATATCTATGTAAAAGAAACCTTGTTATCCTTAATTTTAATTTAACTTTAATTTATTATTGTTATTTCTATCGATGTATTCCACCTATGTGGCCCTATAAACCTAGGAATACTTTTTCATACGATATTCACAATAATTTAATATTTTTCATATACATGTCGGCCATATTGGATCCGCCATTTTGAATTTTGCAATTGTGATATCAGATTCGAAGTCTGCGGCGCAAGTAACTTATAAATACCAAGGCTCATGAAAATCTAATAACTTTTTCATATATATATCGGCCATATTGGATCCACCATTTTGAATTTTGCAATTGTGATATCAAATTCGAAGTTTGCGGCGCAAATAACTTATATATACTAACGCTCATGAAAATCTAATAACTTTTTCATATACATGTCAGCCATATTGGATCCGCCATGTTGAATTTTGCAATTTTTATATCAGATTCGAAATTTGCAACCCAAATAACTGTGTGATGTTAAATAAATGATATTTGAAATAAAATTAAGTGAATTAATATTATATTGTATATATATATTTGTATATTTATATAAAAGAAATTGTTTTAAAAACATTAGAAAGTAAAATCAGCGAATAAACAGACGAATCAGTGCTTGAATAATGATATAATTTAATTGTAATCGACACGCGTGAATATTCGATGTCGTTTCGCAGCCTTCGAGTACTCGTAGAATATTCGAGTAATTCCAGTACCGTGTAATGTGAATTGGTTCGCACGCGATCGCAATTTTCGACATGCGTGTCGTCCGTGCCGATAAAATGCAGACTCACGACAAGCACCCGCTGAATAATGTAATTGAAAACTAGCGGACAGCTCTGTTTAATCGGCTCGTGCAAATAAATCGACTGGACTGTGACCGGTACGTGACAGGATTCTAAAATTACAGGCGAGAGCATAATTTTGGTCGGCTGCTAATGATTCAGGTCGATTGGACGTATTAGGTGTCAGCCTTGCCGGCGTTTCCTTCGAGCTGATTAAAATGGAACGAAATAAAATCGCCCGGAACGCTGAATGGATTGGTAATGCACGTGCCACGAATACGTTCGATTCTCGTACTATCGAGATTATCACGAATCTGAATAAAATATGACGTGCTTTTCATTTTTCGTTAATTATATGGATTCACGTTCGAAAGTACCGATTAGAAATTCCGTTAAAGTTCCAGGTATTCCCGTGCGTAGGATTAAATTCACCAGTGGAACACTAAATTTTAAGTAAAAAACGTAAATTCATGTACATTTACATCTAGATTAAGAATATTATTTGACGCTTCGTTCAGATCTCTCTGACCTTCTCTGAAAGTAATTTATAAGTTAGAATTCTTACGACTCATCGTTCTATTTTAGGAGTAAACAAATTAAATGTAGTTTCTTGCCAACGAATTATATTTCTTTCAGACTGACAGACAAGGAAGACAATGTGTCAGTCAACACTGAATAAAAGGCGATAAGGAATTAGAGATACTGTAATAATCAGCATGAGGAAATTACGATGATTATCGGTGACTGTTTTATTAATTACCATGAAGTAGAAAAATATAAGATAAAAATTCTTAAGTTCTTGCCATAAATATGTACGTCAAAAGATTGATATCAAGTGGTGCCAAAAGTACACTATGTAATATATAAGTACACTATATATAATATAAAAGTACACTATGTAAGATTTCTATTTATTTCAGAAATTATAAATAAATGAAAACAGGTGTACTAATTCATAAAAATTGTAAGACTGAAAACTTTACAGATTTCGGTGAACGAGACATTCCATTTAAAAATTTTGGATTATTGGAACTTGTAGAGTCTTCTAACAGCCTGTTTTTAACACCCCCGAATTTCTATTCATTTTAGAAATTTTAAATAAATAAAAACTAGCATACTAACACATTAAAATTATGAGACCGAAAACTTTACATATATCAGTAAATGAGACGTTCAATTTTCCCAAAAATTTTACAGTATTGCACAAGGTTTTGTACGACACTTGTCGCGTCACGTTGCGCGTATTTTACGATATCATCAATAATAATGTTACAGATACGCTTCGATACGATCATGGCCTAACCGTAAGACACCTCTTCAGAAGGAAAAGCGAAACCTGGCGGAACAGATTCGTGTAATGACTATAATGACGATTGACATGCACGATAGCCCTGAAAATTGTGATAAATATCAGGAGGATTTCATAACACCACGAATTGACTTCATATAACCCGAGAGTGGAGAGCGTTGTTGGGTTACGTAAATGACACGCGAGCTATATATTTAAACAATGGCGACACAATGATTAAGGCCTCGTCAAATGACGGTGCAGGTCCGCGTTCCTGACGGGGTCAATTACACACACGGTCGCTTAGAAGGATTCTCACTCCTCAGATGCTCAAAACAGAGAGAAAAAAAATATACGTGTTGAATTGAGTAATCTCCTCCTTTTCGAAGTCTGTTAAAAATTCATTTAATAGTCGTAAACAGAAACTTTTTAAATGATATCAATTTGTGATTCAAATGTTCTGTAAATTCTCTGTAAATTGTAAATTTCTAAAATTTAGCTTTCCTAAAATCTTCAAAATCGTCTCATCTCAAGTTCTCCTGAATTTTATTTTAACTTACACAATTGAAATCTAATTACAAATGTTCTGCAAATTCTCTGTAAATTGTAAATTTTTAAAGTTTAGCTTTCCTAAAATCTTCAAAATCGTCTCATCTCAAGTTCTCCTGAATTTTATTTTAACTTACACAATTGTAGTCTAATTGCAAATATTCTTGTAAATTTTCAATATAAATTTATTGTAAATTTTCAATATAAAAATCTAGCTTCCCTAAAATCCTCAAAATCGTCTCATCTCAAGTTCTCCTGAATTTTATTTTAACTTACACAATTGAAATCTAAGTACAAATGTTCTGCAAATTCTCTCTAAATAGTTCTGTAAATTATAAATATAAAAATCTAGCTTTCCTAAACTCTCAAAATCCTCTCGTAAACAATTTCCACGGTAAAAGAAACAATGACATAGTGGCCTCCAGTATCTGAAGCATTCTCTGTCAGTAGGTCAAGGCTACTCTCCCAGTCCTGAACCATCGCGTTCTCTCGATTCATCTGTGGTCTCGGTATCGTTCCTTACGCCACTCTCGCGTGTGATTCGCGGCAGAGTCAGCGAAAAGACGCCGGAGAGGGAGAAAGAGTACACTCCGTCCAATATTAGGACATTAAGAATCCCCCAATCGGTGTGCGAAATGTCGACCTTCGTTCAATCGACACAGCACCAAAAGTAGGAAGCACGAGTCGCACGGGTATTAAGCGCAGATCACGGAAAGCAAACTACGGAATCATGGGAGGTTCTTGCATTCTTCTTAATTGTTATCCGAAAGTGTCGGCGCTAGATAACAACGCACGAGTAAAGGGGGATTCTCTAACGCGTTATAAATATTGTACGGGGCCGCATACAAAGCGTCACACTTCGATTCCGCGCCGCTCACTCCGTACCAGACATCTCCGGAGGCAGTGCAGTGATCCATTAGGTGTACGCTCCACGTAAACGATTTTCAATTCGCAGGTCAGTGACGAATAGTGACTTGTGCGTTTACGTATAATTTCCCATCGATGTTCGAATGCGTGTTGACGTGACAAGTGGATTAAATTTTTGAAAAAAAAAAAAAAAAAAAGAATACAAAGTCTAATTAAAAATGTTCCGTGTTGCTCGTGTTTGCGGATGATCAGTTTCGCGGAAGTGACATGATTGAGATTAGGAAACCATCGGAGAATCTTTATGGTTACTAGTGTTGCTACGATTTTGTTGGATTTGAGGCAAGACTGATCCGCATAGGAAAAGAATTGCTTGTAATATAGTTAAGACTTTTATATCGAATTGTACATTTTCAATTGGTTTGTTTTCTATATTTGGTATGTTAACATTGTATATTGTTCTTTTGAAGAAAAGTTAAAAACATAAAGGATAAGGTAAAAACGACTGTGCTCCGTAAATCTAGTATCCACTTACCGGAGTAAATTTTCAAGTGAATCGAGAGAATCTTGAGCAAACATCAAGGCGATCTTTTTTGTCGTACATTTATTCATTGCATTAAATTAACTTTGGATTGTTCTGGAGAGGATGGTGTTCGTCAGACAAACACGTGTTGCATAATATAAAACGCACCACGGCAAACTTGACGCGTGTAATTTACATTTCATTGTTTGGATGAAGCTGCTGAATAAATATTATCGAGATTGACAAGTGAGTTTTCCGAGTTCTAGTGCGAACGAAACGTTTCATGAATGATACGGAACGACAGCGCCACGTTAAGGCGAAGATAACTCGTTTTCTATTCTAATCGCGTCCTGCGATATTACGCTACCAACACGCATAAAATTCCCATTCATCACGGCTCGTCGAGGATTCAAACGAAATAAACGGAACCATTCATCTCGTTTCACTCTAATTTGTCGAATCGTTAAACTGAACACATGCAAGCATTTGGTGCGTCGATGTGCTCAAATAAATGTAACGCTGAAACAATCGCAATTCATTTGCAGTAGGTCATTAATGATTCATCAATGAATTCATTGTAAAAGGTTTGAGTTTTTTATATTTTCGCGAAATACTACTGCAAACGGCAATAATAATATAAATGATAATATAAATAAATGGTTTTGTTAAATACTTTTACAAGTTCTTTAAAAAAAAACAACTTATTCGTTATATATTAATAATCATTCTTATACAAAGTATAAGTTAGTTACATTTTCGTAAAATACTACTGAAAATGGTAATGATGATATAAATAATAACTTAAATAAGTTTTTGTGATAAATGTCTTTACAAGTTCTACAAAAAAACAACTTATTCGTTATATATTAATAATCATTCATTATAAAAAGTATAAGTTCGTTACATTTTTGTGAAGTACTACTAGATATGATAATAATAATATAAATAAATGGTTACGACAAATACCATTACAAGCCCTTCAAAAAAATAGCTGAATCGTAATTGATAAAATTGAACGTAAAAATTATTCGTAAGCTCTTCAAAGCTTGATATCTACTGACGTAAGCTAGGAAATTAACTGATAAAGAAATCTAGCAGCAATTGCAACTATTCTGTTATCATACAGTTATTATTGTACAATACACCATTCGATATTATGTCACTATCGCGTCCTTATCATTCCTATTGACTTGACGTAAAAAGGTTTCACGTATCACGATAGAACGCTGGGATGAAAATAACATACAATGATTTCCGACTTGTGAAAAGTTTCTGCTACCCGTAATGCACTTCTTCTAAGTTTACTTTTTGTGTAAATTAAATGACAGGTTTAATGTTTCCAAAAAAATTTTTTATTGCGAAAACGTGAAAAGTCTATTTGTGCATATTACGTGCAAGAATATTGTACGTAATTTTTAAACAAATTGATCAGAGCGGTTGAAAATTTTAGGGTCTATTATTAAAAGTAAAAAAATTACGCCAAGTACATGAAAAAGTGGAGGACTCAAGGAGTTATCATTGAAAAACAGAAGATCCCCATAAAAAACTACAAGAAAATAGAAAAAGATGTGAAATCGAAATAATTTATTATATAGAATCTATTTGAAATTTATAAAAATAAAATTGATATTTCTGTAAACTCTACATAAGAAGTCTAAATTATTATTTGTTTCTTTGATTGAGTAGAGTAAAATAAAGGGAGAGGGGATAACAAAAGCGAACATATATATTGTTGCGCCGGGGGGTTGAGCCACGAGAATTCATTTTAATTAAATATAAAGTTTATTAACAAACTATAACTTTTAAACAATTTAACGATAATATAACGATAATCTTGGAGACTTGTAACGGAACGTCTTCTCTCTTTGAGTTCTCGAATCGCTCTCTACTACTTTAAAAGTTTGCCGCTTCCTAGCAACCGGAAGCACGGGAACTCGTTTCCGCATCTTCACACCATCGCGACGATATAACTCGGAACTGTAGTGCGGCATCTTCATACTGTCGCAACAATATATATATATGTATTTCATATAATTTATTAAGTGTAAACTCTTATTCGTTCAATTTATAAATAATTATATATACCTGCAATTTTTTTTCTTGCTGCGAGAAATTTTAATGTTAATGATGAAATGAGAAAATGACTCCATTACTATAAGCTCTACATAAAAAGTCTAAATTAAAAACACTAGTGGTATGGATCTATTCTGTAAAGTACAACAAACGACATTCGGCTTTTGCTTAGCTCCTATTGGCTAAGGGTTGACGACGGGAAAATCATACGAAAAATACCGTTTCTGACAGATTCATGACATATTACGATATGTCAGTTGTTCGTGGACCGATTTGACTGATTTTGGTTTTATTCGAAAGCTTATATGCGGTTTACATCAGAAAAATGCCTTTAAATTTATAAAATATTGCAGGTGTGTTGAGATATTCATGAAAGAAGTTTCAGGTTAGGTTGGAATGGACCATCTCCCCTATAAAAGATACATGGTAGCTCCAACGCCAGTAGATACTCGGTGACGGATAATTTTTCATGTACTTAGCGCCGAGACGCTACCGCGTCTCTAGATACCTAAATCTTTTAACGAAATTTGTGTAAATTAAATGACAGGTTCAATGTTTCCCAGAAAATTTTTTATTGTGCAAACATGTAAAGTCTATTTGTGCATAATGAATTTATTTGAATACCTATCATTTAATTTCGTGCAGAGTTCTTCAACAAACGTAGAAAGTACAAATACCTACTGTATGTGTATAAATCGACGTGCCAAATTTGAGAAGTTTACGTCAAGTATGTAATTCGCAAAAAAAAATCATGAAGATCGCCCCGGAACTGGTCAAAAAAGGGAGGTATACCCTCGGCAACGTTTGCGCACCCCTAGTCTCGAAAGTTGCAATGGCGAAAGTTTTCGTCTTCCGAGATTTCGCCGTGGATAAAGTATGGCCTTTGTTCACGGGAACGTGATCAGTTCCACGGGGAATCGCTGTAAATTTTCTTAAAATACCGCGGTTCGATGGAATCTCGAGGTATAGCCGTCGCGCAGCCAGCGCGGGAAAAAGTCAGGGACGAAGGGGTGGACTTCCTCGTTCCATTACGTTTCTAATTGAAACAGCGAGTCGAGAACGCGAGAAACGTTCGGCCGTGAATATCGAGGAAGGACGGGATTCGAACGCTGGCGGAAAAGAAATGGAGTAAGAGGGACGAAGGGGGAGGGGGGCGGGGGGGCGGGGGGAGGAAAGGAAAAGGGAAGCGTGATAAATCTCGCGGCGTACAATAAGTTACCGTAAAGAATCGTTTCCGCGTCTCCTGACGCGTCGGGAAGAACAATGATTTGTCGAGGAAATTCTCCAATTCCAATTCCAATTTCAGAAATGGCCCAAGAGACACCGTTATGGCTGAACATCCACTTCGCGGAGAGGATACTGCGATTGGCAGAGGACAACACTACGATCACGGTGACCGATATATTTATGAAACCGGCCACTAGCAAAGGTGATAACTACACCAGCGATATGATGAGGGTGTCCATTGAGTTCACGCGTGTTCAGGGTGGGGAGAGGGTGAAGGATAAGAAGTCGCTTATATTCAAATTCGAGCCGATAGAAGAGGGAGTGCGCAGAGATTTGGTAAGTCCTCGAACTTTTTCTTTATCGAAGCTGTAAATATCAGTGTTACGTAAACTACACTGCAAATAAAATCAATTATATGAAATGGAACCTTGGATACAGTCAGTTACATAAATATTCGAACTCTTTGTCTTTGTCTAAATTAAACGAAGGGTTGATGTTTCCGAATACATTTTTTATTAGATACAGTCAGATGAAATATTCGTACCTCCTATGTCTATCGAAGAAATTTGTTTAAATTAAATGGTTGGTCCGATGTTTCCAAGTGTGTGTTTGTATAAATATGTTAATGTATATGTTACGGTGAATGCGATAAACTAGGGATTACGCGTAATCTCCACTAAAGTTGGTGAATGTGATAAATTTTGGAATATTTATCAAATACACTGGTGATTTTATATAATCTCCAACTCGTAATGAGAAATGGGATAAATGCGCTTGAACGGTGCTGATGTACACTTGAAATCTGAAAACAGTCGCGAACCGTAATTTTATGAAAAAAAGTGCTTAAAACCGCGTTTCCAGCCACTTTTTCACTGATCCGAGCTGTCTATTAAAGTTACATATCTCCTTTAGACAGAATGATCCACTCTTTAATAGCTAAATGCATGTTTGACTAAATCAACAAATCGATGCATGAGTACTAGAACTAGACGATCAGAATAAACGTTCACGTGTGACTTAAAATAACCATTCATTGAAGTTTTAGTTGCAAATTATAGACTGTTGTTATTCGCAGTGATAGTGTCCAACAAGAAACTACGTCCAAACCTACTCAGACAGTATTTCCGCGTAGACAGTATATGCATCAACAATTTTCTCACATTCCTCACCATGTGACTTAAAATACCCATTAATTGAATTTTTAGTTGTCAACTATAAAATATTGTTATTCGCAGCCTCTCGCGTGATAGTGTCCAACAAAAAACTACGTCCAAACTTCCTCAGACAGTATTTCCTCAGACAGCATACGCATTAACGAATATTTTTTGGATGTTTCGCCAGATCGAGAAGGTCCAAATATTCGACACCGAGATGACAATGATGATGGACACCCTGAAGAAGATGAACGACATGTTGGGCCCCGAATCTCGTCTCGGAGCGCAAGTCTATCACGTACGGATGGAACGACCGTTGTGTTTGATAATGGAGGACCTCGCACCCCTCGGATTTCGCATGGCTGACCGCCAAGCTGGTCTTGACCTACAACACTGCCTACTAGCGGTACGAGGACTGGCGAAATTCCACGCCAGTTCGGTGGTGCTATGCGAAAAGGTAAAGAATCCCGATAAATGCACTAGAAGCATCCCCATTTCACCCCTTACCCTCTTCACCATTCCGACCCACTGACCGCTAAAGAGGCTACCGTTGAAGTGATTAACGAAGAAGGAACGCGGAACAGCCGCCATTTTCTTTTATCTTTCGTGGGTTAGCCTATTATCGAAGGATCGTTAAGCAGCTGACGCCCCGCTGCTACTTTAAGGATTTTAGGATACCTTGTAACTTTTCAATTATAATTGAATCTCAACGAAGCTCCTCAAATTTATTTATTTAATCAACGAACGATTTTTGCCTTCTTTACTGCGACGTTAAAATAATACAAAGAGTAATCATCGCAATTCTCAAGTTTTGGAGGATTCTAGGATACCTTGTAACTTTTCAAGTATAATTGAATCTCAACGAAGCTCCTCGAATTTATTTATTTAATCAACGAACGATTTTTGCCTTCTTTACTGCGACGTTAAAATAATACAAAGAGTAATCATCAACTATTAATAAAATTGAGCAGCGAATGTATTTCAAATAGATTGTTAGTTCTGTTAACTCTGCGTAGCTTTGCAGAGTCGCGGCAGTAAATGATTTCTACATAATTACAGGAACCGAAACATAAGGAGCGCTATAGAAGGGGTATATTCTCCGATGAGTTCCCAGATGAGGTGACTGCATTCTTCACCGGCGGATGCGCGGCTTTGGCTGCGGAAATGAAAAACTGGCCAGGCGAATGGACGATGTAAGGAGTTGTCAGTTTTATTGTGTCACCCGTGATCATGAAGTTTGAACCCTCGATAAGTCCGTTAATTGATGCAAATTGCAGTTACAGAGAGAAACTTGAGGCGCTCGCTCCGCATTTGTACAAGCTTGGCGCGAAAACGCTACAGCGTCGCGACGACGAATTCAACGTAATCAATCACGGTGATAGCTGGGTAAACAACATGTTGTTCCGGTACGATGAGAACTCGAAGCCAGTCCAGCATATTTTCGTAAGTAACGAACAATCGATTTCATTCTATGTAATATTAGACAATTATCTTATTAGAGAGATTTTATTACAGATTTTATTAGAGATTTTATTAGAGATACAATAAACACTGACCATTTGTGTGATTAAGTCCGAGACGTGCGTAACGATGAGTTTGTTGATCATTTTGCAATATGATACAATGCTAACACCAGTATTTCAAACATTATCACACATTATCAAACATTTCAAACATTATCAAACATTATTACATAAGTACTACTATCAATTGCAGACACAATTAAAGCACCATAATTTATTTATTCATTCCTGCAATAATTACAAATATAACACAAGCTACAGTATCTCGAATATTATCAATTCACAAAGTCTGTTAAAAAGTGAATGACGATGCCGTACGTATGTATCACCTTGTAGAATTCCCATTCTTGCACACCTTCGATCGCTGTCAAATCGATGCGTTGACGTTCAGTTGATCGCGACCGAAGAGGCCAGGCGACAAAGAACCATCGTTTCGACTCCTCGTGCATTATGAATAATGCAATAAATCCGACTCGATCGCGTTTAGGTACATTTGCCACCTGTCTGTTCGCGTTTGCATGGCACGGGGAACAACGAGTCGCGGCCACGAGTAGACGGGTCCTCGACTGTGACGATTTCCTGAACGCGAGCTTCGATTCTTTCCCTCGATTCTCGCAATTTCCAATTCTATACGCGTCCAACACCGTTCCACCGATTCCGAACAAAAATCACGCTTCCCAGAATTCTCCAGACCTTTTAACAAATTTTCATCCCCGAAAAAGCAATTCTCGAATATTTCTATAATGAAACATTTAGTTTTAAACATTAAACATTTACTTAATTACAAGCAATTTAGATTATCGTGTTACAGTGGCATGGCTTGTATGTCAGTTACTTATGGTCTCGAATTTACTATTTAGACTTTTTTTAGTATTTTTGTTTTAAATTTAATTTAAACAAATTTGTTTAGTATGTATTCAGGGTATGAATCCATAGAATATCTATGACTATAAGTCATAGATATTCTATAAGTCTAAATTCTTTTTCTGTGAAGATATCAATTTACATAAATATCCACAATCTAATTACCATAATTAGCTGTTACATATTTTTTTTTAATTTCTGTAATTTCTATTTTAGTAGAAATTCTATTTTTTTTTAAATTTCATAATCAAAAATGATTCATTCATGTTCAACAATTCGATTAATGTTGCAGGTCGACTTCCAAATGTGCGTCTACACAACGCCAGCGATCGACCTGCATTACTTCCTGTCCACCAGCCCTTCGGAAACTATTTACGAGAACAATTTGGACATGCTGGTGGAGGAGTACGTGCGCACGTTGTCCACCATGATGAAACAATTGGGCAGCAAAACAAAGCCGCCCACCTTAGAGGATATCAAGAAAACGATGAAAGAACGCGAAACGTACGCGCTGATATCCTCGATTACAGTCCTGCCAGTAATCCTGGTGGATAAGAGCGAAGCGATGGATATCAACGAAATGATGCATCCCGATGGCGTGAATAATCCTGGATATAAGAGCCCGATTTACCAGAAAGTAATGGCCAAGAGATTTCCAAAATTTTTGAAAGCGGGATTGTTGGAGATTCCAGCTTAAGACATTCGTGACGATAAAATACACCAACTTTCCTGGAATTTCTTTCTTTGAATGAAAGATTAAACGACAACCGGCGAGAGCTATTCGCTGAGTTTGAGTTTGTCGTAGATTGTAGAATCGCGACAACCATGCGAATCGTATTGGCGGCTAGTTGAGGATCCAGTTTGTGACACGATAGGCATAATTTTAGGTAGAATGTTGACTGTTTATTGAAAATTGTACGATACGGAGTAAAGAACTTCGGTACTTGTAAGAAAGACCAATGACGAACTGTTGTCTGCGCAAAGAGGATTCTAGATAATTATTATTATCAATCAACGCGATAGTATAAATTGAACGACACGGTCGTAGAATTATGTATGACTAGGCTCGATATATTATCGAAACGGGTACGAAATTAAAAAGAGAGAAGGTGAATCTCTTTGAAACATCCAAAAAATCGTTAGGTGAAATTTATTCCTCAATTTCACGCTAACATTTAGAGCTGCACTTCGTAAACTTTGTTCGTCATCTTTTCGTAGGACGATATTATGGACATCGGTTTTAACAAATTCGTGGTTAATGTAAATTTAATTTGATTAGAAAGTAATACGTTGTTATCGACAGAAACACTAATCCGATTTTTATTAACAAGCACTGTATAAGTACATCTTTTAAATTTTCAAAGTACTAAAGAATTGTTTCGTGTTTAAGAAAAGCAAAACGTGAATCAATGCAAATAAATTACAACGAAAAATATTGGAGACGTTATTCTTAATCTCGCACATAATCGTAAATGATGTAATAGTTATTTCTTGTAATTATTTAATCTTCTAATGATAGAAAGCAAAGAAAGAAAAATCTCGTCCCTTTCATATTTTTCCAGCGATTCTAGCGCTGTCATCGAAACAGTCATTCGACCGGGCGCGTAAATCCTCGTCGGTAGGCGAGAAGATTTAAGAGCGAATTGTACTTTCGCGACATGCAAACGAAACGTGCCGCGGTGTTTTGAATAAATGTCCGTGTCACGTTTCCTCGTACACACCGGCGTGACCGTTTCGGGAAAACAAAGAGTGCCCGGACGATGAAATTGCTGTTGAACATGCGTTGCACAGCGCGTACCTATTTTATGGATTAATTGCAACCCCCCCCCCCTCCCCCGCAGCCACAGCGACGGGACTGACGGCGTGTCTGCGAATGGGGGAGGACGAAATAGGGGTGAAAAAAATATTCTGAATACTTTCTCCAACGCGCGGAAAACGGACAGGAATTTTTTTTACGAAATTTCATCGATCTGCGCATCATCTGTCAGGTGTATTAATTAATTATGCCTCTTTTTTCAGGTAAGGTTTCATTTATTTATAAAGAAACACGAAACTATTTTGAATTTTTCTTGGTTGAGACTCTACACAACAAAATGAAAGTCAACATATTTATTTGAACCAGAGTTACGAATAATTATCTTAATATAAAACCATGGTGTTCATTTCTACGCATTTCTGTATTAAGGTTCTATTTTTTATAAACGAACACCATGGTATTTTTAATTTTTCTTGAGCGACACATTACCGGTACTCCATACAACAAAATGAAAGTAAATATTTTTATTTACACCAGAGTCTGAATGAATAATTACATTAATCTACAGACACAGCATTAATTTCAACGTTTGATATACACAAAAAGATGACGAAATCATAAACAATAGAATCTAAGTTGCCAACAGAGGCAATTTTAATTCAAGCTTGGAAAAGGCAGGACGACAAAATAAAAAATTCCAGCGGTGTTTGTTGAAATGGCCGAGTTTGCTTCAAGTGGCCGAGGGCCGATATTAAAATTAATTTGAAAGCACTTTGAATAGTCGGATTTCGTTACGTCGCCGCCCCGCAATGAGAGTTATTACTTTGATTCGAAATTGTCGAGTCGTTCATGCGTGGCTTGTTAAACAATTCTAGGGGAGTCCTGATCCGCGACGCGGTTCGCATGAAATAAGTGATATTCCTGCGGCTCTACAATTGGCTGTGATTCGTTCAAATGATCCTTTGAATGAACCTCGTTACCAGACCGCGGCGGTAAGTATCGCGTACGTGCATACGTCTCTGGATAAAATCAATATATATGAAATTCATCGACGTTCGATCGGGAATAACCGCGTAGATGCGCGTGTCATTCCGATTCACTCCGTCGAACTTAATTGCCTGTTAATTCCAAACGACATTCATGGAGACCGAAGCAATTTTCGCGCAACGTATTTCAACTTTTGTGTTCGAATATTATGCGTTAATTACCGCTGGAGCCCGACGGGCATAATCACGCCTTTTGAACGGACATTTCGGGTATCTGTACCGCGAATTAATCAGACGTTCATTAACTCGCCGCGGTAGATATGGGAATTCTTTTTAATACTCGGTAAATTTTGGTAATATGTTTCCATTATTGTTTATCTGCGCGGGGATTTTTTGGCAATACTTCAATCTTCATCCATTGTGCTATGAGTTAGAAAAAGTTTCATATTAGTAAAATAAATAAACGTATCGCGAAAGGTCTGATAAACAAATGGTTAAATATTTAAAAATACTACGAAACCGTCACTGGCCTTCTTTTTTAAATAGAATGCGGTATTTTCATTATTGTTATGTCGTAGTTGATAAAAAGACAAATTCAAACATACACATGCATGTTGACTGTGCACATTAGAACATGATTTTACAAGAAATTTTATAGAAAATAATAAAGTAGTTTTCGAGGTTCGCTCTTCAGTCAATTCCAAGATGTATAATAGGTTGAAAGGGTTACGAAGTAGGCAGCTTGGGTATTCTGAAACGCAACGCGTCGACCATAGACCTTTTCGTCGATTGAGCTGCACGTAGTGAAATTATAATAGCACTGTGTGAAGTTGTGTAGATTTTGTGAACACCGGGGGCATCATGGAGGATGCGATTAACTCCGAAAGCTAATTATTATCTTCAAAGCCCGCTGCACGCATTTCGCCTTTTAATTAAAACGGACCGATGTTTGTCCGTGCTCATATTTATGCGCACGATCGACAGTTGTTTGTGCAGTCACAGTATAAAATCATCCGGATTGGCTCTCGAATCGGAGAAATCCAATTGTCCTCGAAACTACCGAATAATCCCCCCAAAAAAGATTTTCTTGAAAGATTACAACTTACAAAAATCATGTACACGATCCACAAAAATAACAAGGATTATATATAATACTACTGGTACCAGAAAGTAACTCGTTCATCATTTACCAACTCGTCGTGCACCAATTGGTTTTTGTCGGATCAGGTACTGAAAACTTGCAGACCAGAAAGCAAGAAATAAAAACTTGTTATAACTTGAACAATAACTCTTCTCTGAGACTTATTAAGTCACAACTAGCTTTGGCTCGTATTATGGATCTGTCTGTGGAAAGAGTTATGTAGTCGTGTTATTGGTTTATAAGAATCAGGAGATTTATATTCTTTCTGCTGGACGACTTATATTGCTTTAACTAACAAGGATTACTGCTCAGATATACACCGCGTTAGTGATGCAAACTCGTTTAGAAATTTTGTACATTCTTGAACAATAATCCGTAAAAGATGTTGTAGCTCGTAACTCGTCGCCCCGTCGAAATTGCGATTTATACGTGAAATTAATTGTCACCGAAGAAGCTGCTAAAACGTCGCTCGAAAGGGTTTCACGTTTTACGATGAGAGAGATGACTGATCGCGGTACCGCGGTTGTCGTTTTACCTCGACAAAGCGCGACGGAAGACTATGACTAATGATATCGTCGCAACAACTTATTTGTTATCGGAACTGCCTATTACTTACCGTATTGGACAATATGTCTGCCGTCTCGTCGCCTATCGTCGCTGCCTACGGAAGCACCAAGTCCCTCCCAAGGCATTCTATCGATTATTGCGGGAGGATATTTGTCCCTGCGGGAGCGATTCACCGTCGAACGGGACCGGGAGACAAATTATACGCGAGCCAACTTTCCTGGAATTTCTTCCGTCGTATCAACGTAACGACGATAGGGGCCTGTGCATTTTTAATTACACTTTCAGCAGCGGAATAAAGAAAAAAGTGGAACAGCCGTAACGGAAGAATTTTCTTTCATTAATCAGCCATGAAAATTTTACGGGCTGCGCGGGAGTACGTTGCAACAAGATAATGGAAACGTCGCGACGTTCTTCCCGACGGTACCCTCGTTCCTTCTTTTCTTGCAACTCCGCAACTTTTCTGATAAAACGACCACGGAGAAAATGCGTCGCGCAATATCGCGCGGAAGACGAGCACGAGAGCACGAGGAGGCGACGAGTCACACGTACGTACAGACTTAAAGAGAAGGTGGAATTCTGGATGGTGGAGATTAGGTGATGAGGAAAGTGAATGGAACTGTGTGTGAAAAGTATTGTTGAAGGAGTTAAAAATAGATATTTCGGCATTATACAGAGTTCAATTATATAATGCAGCAAGACAATGTAATACTACGTATTGTAGTAAAATACAGCAAAATGTAGCAGCATTGTACAGAGTTTAATTGTATAATGCAGCAAGACAATGTAATACTACGTATTGTAGTAAAATACAGCAAAATATAGCAGCATTGTACAGAGTCTAATTGTATAATGCAGCAAGACATGACGTAATACTACATATCACAGTAAAATAGGGCAAAATATAGCAGCATTGCACAGAGTTTAATTGCATAATGCAGCAAGACACCAAGTCTACCAAGCAGACCCGTGCCTGGATGCTTGAAGTCTGGTCGGAAGAGGCTTATATATGTATGTTAGCCGGGACCTTTCACTTGTGAGAAAGGGCGGTACGCGTAGCCTCACATGCCCAATTTCCAAAATAATTTCCACGCAACGGTACTTCTTCTCAACAACCAGAAACTCCGCGAACCAGTAACCCTCACGAAAGCACGTGAACTTTTCCCGATTCCACGAGCGGGACTCCGGTAGAGAAACGGTAAAACTTTATTCCACGGTTCATCGTTCACCTACGTCCCCCGTCGAAAGCCCGCAAGGTCTGGTGACTCGGTAAATTAATAGAAAAAAAATAGGTAAAAGAGGGCACTGTGGGTCGAAGGGGATCCAGATGGAGGAGAGAGAGAGGAACAAGTAGAAAATTACAGCCATTCCGGACGAAATTGAAGCGCGCGTCAGTGCACGTCCAACAACCGCCGCAACCGGTCGTTCCAGCGTCATATATTCCGCGTCCTTTGTCTCGAGGAACTGATGCGGTATCACGTGTATAAAAGTAATATCTGCTATCCCAGTACCAGTCAAAGGGGTCTCGCCGCGTTTGAGTTATAACGCCACACGATGACTAGGGCGAGAGTGTCTCGTGAAGTGGGGGATGGCTTGGCCTCTCTGTATGCATACAGGGTGTCCCGTAACTGGTGGCACAGGCGAGTAAGGGACAATTGAATAAAAAATGTAGAATAACATTTTTTCACGTGACGCATTATTTATGAAAAAAATTAAGTTGAAAATTTATCGAGTAACTGGGATCAGGTTCAGCTCGAAGGATTTCATTGTTGATAGCCTCCGTTCTTGTTCGTAAACGTTGTCAGTGGATCCTCACGTTGTTGCAAACAAAACTGTGCTCTCCTTATTAAATCGCTTCGAACGTTTTCTAATGTATTGTGCAATTTCAATTCCTTCAAACACTATAATAATTTTTTCTTTTAATTGTTCAACCCTCCTCATGCGATCACTGTACACGATCCCTCGCAAATAAAAATCTAAAAGTGATAAAGGCACCCAAGGTATTTTGCCTACTATAGTGTGCTGTATTAGAGTGTACTGGTGCTTCATTTTATTGAAAAATTAAATTTCTTCGAGTTATAAGAGCAACAAATTTATTTTCTCCGAAAATAAAGCGTCACATGAAACCAGACACCCTGTATATCCGTCGTCTGTATGCGCTTGTCAGGGACAGAGGGGTTGATAAACGCCCGCCCCCATTCCATCGTCGACCGTTTTCAACGTCGTCCCGACGACCCCAGTCATCCGCCACGGGCCACAATCATCGCAGCGTCGCGGTATTCATAAACTAACTCAGACAACGTCTGAAACTTTGCGTCACAGGATGGCGATGCTCTGATATGGAATAATGGCGACGGCATAGTAATGAAGATCGTGCATGTTCACGCATACCCGGCCGCTGCACGAGCTGTCCCTAAGTATTTCCATTCACGTCCCGCGAGTTCGTCCGATGACGCGTACGTTCGTTCTGTTGCGCTTTATCGCGGCCAGCCTGAGACTGAAAATTGATTAATCGCGAGCACCAGTTGTTTGGAATGGCGACAACAAGAATTCATCCTGGTGGGTGACGTTCGTGGTATAGAAACGCGAACGGTGACTTTCGTCGCGATAGTAGCACTGGTCTTGCGACGAATTGGGGTGGTTAGGATGTGGTGGAGGATGGGGAGAGTTTATAACATGGGCCAGGATGGTTTCCAGAAAGGTTTTGGTTTTGGTAGATGGTTCAGGTTGACGTGACGAGCTCTGTTTTAAATTGAGTGAGTTTTAACTTGACTATAACGCTTGACTATTTATGTAATATATAACAGCAACATTTCTTGCAATTCCTCGTAACTAGTGAACCACCACAATCAATTTTTTAAAAATATTAGCTGATAAGGAATGATGAGACGAAACTTTTTTATCTTTACAGTTTATTCATAGTAAGCATTGTTTGTGAAATAAAAATTGGAAAGCTAGACATTTGTCGCAAAAAATTGAATTTCAAGAAGAAGGTTTTCTAAGTTTTCAATTTTTATCTCTGAATCTAAACGTCCTATGAATAAACTGTGAATACAAAAAAGTTTCGTTTCGTCATTATCTATAAGGTAATATTTTTTTTTAAATTCAATTGTTCTACTGTTGTTTCTTTTTCTCTATAACAACAGCAGCAGGGTCAGTCTACAACAAGCTCTCAGCAAAAAGCTCTTTCAACTCTTCAATTTTTATCTCTGAAACTAAACGTCCTATAAATAAACTATAAATACAAAAAAGTTCCGCCCTATCATTCCCCATAAGCCGATATATTTGTTTAAATTTACACCTCCACGCCTCTTAAAATTTCCAGCAAAAATCGTCCCCCAGTCGAGGAGTTAATGGTCCCAGAGCCCGATGGGTCACGCGACCGTTAAAAATAATCATTTGTTTCCATCACTTTCAATCTGTGCCGGAACGTTGGAACGCGTAACGGTCCTCCAATGACCGATTCGATTATAATCAAGGGAAATCGGCGTCGTTACGCAATCGGGCCATCGTCCGCGAAGCACTGATTTCGGGGGCGTTGTAGGATGGATGGCTGCGAACAGGCCGGCCAACCGGGGGATGGCACGAGGGACAGGGCAGAATAAATAAACGCCATAATTCACGTTCAAGAGTTACGAACGGTTCAATTCGCAATTGGAATCGGTCCAACGGCTGTGACGCGATATAGACGAACGCCTGGCAATGGTGGCCGCGGACCCCCGGGCGAGAGGGCGGCGAGAGGTTGGCGCTCAGGATACGGGAAAGGGCTGAAAGCATTACACGACGAAGGGACAAACAGCTCGTCGCTTCTGTGTACGACGACGAACGTTGCCTGAAATTAATTTAAAAGGCAGTATTTCCTGCGGCGGGCTTTACACCTGCATAATCTCGCCTGGCGCTCGCTATTCCACGACCGTTCTTCATCCTGCGCCCCCTACCAGCGCCCACCTCGTTGCCGGTTGAAAATAAGTGGATTACGTTAACTTGATAAAGCGAGGATCACGTTTTATCGGGTTAAAGAAAACCCTTTCCACCCCCGCCCGACTGACTCTCTCTTACCATCCCTCTCCCCTGTCTCTTGCTCGCCTCCTTCGTCTCTTATTATCCCGTTCCACGTCTTGCCACGACCTTATCACGCGTTCTTATTTCGCCCGTGCGTTTCAGCCTAGTTTCGCCACCCGCGCTCTAGATCCCGTCCCTGGCTGCTTCATCTAATTTACCCGGGACACGTTACTCTGTTCAGTTTCGCGTATTTTCCACGCGTGCTCGACGCGGCGTTAATTTTCACGCGAATTCTGGAACCGGGCTGAGTTTCTGTATCGCGTAAGTCTGGAATTCTGAAAGCTGTTCGGTTTGAACTCTGTCTTGTAATAAAAACTGAAGACTTAACCTTTTGCGTGACTTACTTCTATTGCAATTGGCATTGCCCACGATTTGTCATTAATTTGTAATGATCGATGGGTGTCTAAATTCAATCTTTCTTATTTGTAGTATCTCATGTTACTGTTACGTAAAGAGACAGCGTTTGTTTGTATCTGCACAAAAATTTCACAAACTACTTAACCGATCGACAGCAAATTTTAATAGTAGCTTCCTTGCTTTGTCTGGAGTAACATAGGCTATGTTATTCGAAGAAAAATGATACTGCATTCGCGTAAAAATACGTAAGAATATGTTGAACGCTCGGGCCTATACCACTAGTCTCTTAAGTACCGTTCCCAACCGCTAGGTGGCTGCGCGCCTTCGTGCCTACCCGAAAGAGAACTTTCTCCGGGTCAACGAAAATATTACAATGTGACGAAGAAAAGTATTGTACATTCCTGAAGTTCTATAATATCACATTACAATCCAAATTCTACGATATGACACGCGAAATGCTAGTTAGTTATAAATAGCATTAAAAATTAGTTTTCCAATATTGGTTTCAAACAACTTCATATAAATAATCAAATATATGACAATATTTCCATTGAACTATTATTAGATTTGTGTTCTAAAAAATTCTAAAAAAACTCGTATAATTTAAGAAAGAGTTCATCGTGGCCATTCCATAACTCAGAAATCTAAGAGAAATGTTCTCGAAGTCAACTACTTGCATATAATAGCCAAATTGCTTGCAGTGTGCAAAGGTTTAAAAGTCTCAAAGTGAATATAGCGTTTGTATTTAGATATTTAAACAGAACACTTATTATGCTGAATGGAGAGATTGAGATTCCTAAAGGGTTTCATTTTCGACGAGACGTGGAGACTCGAAGCGTACTGCCAGCAACATGATGGAACGGATCTTCCGCAATACAACTCACGTTCTGGAAACTTCGCGGCGAAGTTTCGATCGCAATCCAATTGAACATTTATGGGCAAAAATTGACAGAAAATTAAATAACTTCACGATCAATTCCAGGGAAGCGCTAAAGGAGGAAATTATATAACTTTGTTGCAATGTAGGGCAAACTGCTACTGAACAACTGGTAAACAGCACGCAACAACGTTTGCAGAACGCCATTGCTGTTCGTTGTTGTCCACGACGTGTTGGAACTCGATTATTTATTAAACCTGTCGTTTCTTTTACTCGTTTTCAGTGTCTATATTTTTAAAAAGTGCTTTGTAAATATTATTCGTGCCAGTATCGGCGAATAAAAGTACGGTAAACAATATTCTACAGCTACAAAGCAACAAAGACTGAAACTAAAGAAGCATGTCAGAACCTGTAGACAAGCTTGCCAGCATTTGTTGAAAATTTTCAAACAGAGAAGAGTGAACTTACAAAATCCATCTGGTACAAAGGCTTTACTGAACCATGTTGCAGGATTTTCTACAAGGGTCTTTGGAACTTTATTTTTTAATAAAACACATATATAACTCTCATTAAAATTAAACCCTTAAAATTAAATAAATTACTAAAACGACCAAGAAGTCGAACATTACATCAAAATAATTAAACCAGCAAAATTACAGAGTTTCCGGCCGTGTTTCCACGAATTCGCCCACACAGAGCGCCGTTGCACCCGCGAAAACGCCAGCGTTTCCATCCGACGTTTCGGCGCGACGCGATCTCCGCGCGGAATTGTTTCGTGCGCGACAAAGTGATAATCACCTGTTCCGCGTAACTCACGCCTTTTTGTTCCCGTAGGCGCGTCCGACTCGGCCGCAAACTACGCTGATGTAGGGAGCATTACGTGCATCGGATGCGCGGCACAGTTAGCCCCCGAAAATGCCAACGGTGAGCCCGGCAAACAAGATACCGCGCCGCGGAGCGAAATTAAGCGTGCACGGTTTTTGTCGGGCGTGATCGAGAGCTGCGCGCAAATTGAAATTGTTTTGCGAAACGCGCAATGGGGCGAAACCGATGAGATTATATAGATAGGAGAGAGTAACATTCGAATGGCTCCTGTGGCGCGTTCTTCCTTATTCGTTGGGAAATTAAATCCTATTGTACTATTTGTTTGCTGTCGTAAATGGGACCATTGGGTTGTGCAATTTTAGTTTTAAGGCGTTAGTGCATAAAATAAGAGTTGAGAGAATAAGAAATAATTAATATTCGTTCTATATTTATTAACACGTTGACTGCTGTGTGCATTTTACGTGGTTTGCCCGTAGCGTCATGTCGTCGCCGGTCACCGGTGACCCCCACGGCGCTGTAGCAAAGTCGAGTGCCGGTCACCGGTGACCCCCACGGCAGTCAACGTGTTAATATAAGAAAAAACTGCAATACGAAAAGTTCCTACTAGTTCCTAATAGTGTTTAAGAAGAACGTTGTACTTACAATAAGAAGAGTTATCCCTGTAACAACTACTTTAAATGGTTACACTCTTGAAAAATAAAGAAAACAAAATTTAAAAAATTAAATTTGCGTGTTCATCAGAATCTTAAGACTCGATGGTTGAAGTCACTCCCTGTCAAACGCTGACGTTTCTTCTGAATTCGTATTATCTCGCCCTCAAAAATTTCCTAATACGCTTGATATGCACGCAAGGTCCGAATTTTAATTTGAAATCCGGCTGTCCCTTTTCCGTGGAACGGCGGCGATTAAAAACGTCGGTAAATTTTTCCAAACTGCACCGCACCGTAACTCTTCGTAGCGTTACGGCGAACCGCGGAATATGTTAATAGGGGAAGAACGAAAGGGTCGAAATTGGAGTCGCCGAAAATTTAAGCGCGGTCCCCCCCTACCCCTACCCCCTCCCGCGGACCATTTTAATTATCCGCGTTACGCGTCGCGCGCCGACTTATTCCCATAATTCCGTCGCCGCGTGCAATTAAACCGTTCGGGCTTCAACCAGCCGCACGCGATTCAACGCTATAATGAATTCTATAAAACTTCGTAAATAAAGTAGGCTCTCGCGGTTCCGCGTCTTTTAATACTGATAATCTATCGCTATATACAGGGTGACCCGGAATTAAGAACTGGATTTGGGGTAAAAGGTAGCTGAGACGATTCCGAAGCAAAGTTTCCTTTGTAGAAATGTTGGATGTCGCTTAATTTTTGAGTTATTAACGAAAAACAGTCGACCAATCGCAGCGCACGAGTAGCGCGCGCTCAGCTGTGAGAGGCTGGCTCAATGGCTGGCGTCCAATGGCTGACCCGAACGTCGTGACCCGAGCCAGCCTCCGGCGCTGTGATTGGTCCGTGGTTTTTCGTTAATAATTCGAAAACGAAACATCATTCAACATTTTTGCAAAGGAAATTGGTGTTCAGAATCGTTTCAGCTACCCTTACTCCCAATTCCGCTTCTTAAAGAAATTCTAGAACACCCTGTATGATATATATTAACACATTGTTGTCCGGAAATTTGACACAGAAGCGACTTCATGTGAAATTAAAACAATCTAAATAAACTCCAACAAACTTTATTCATATTTTACGAATATTCTACGAAATGTGGGAGAATCGCAATAAAACTCTGGTGTATTATAAGAATTTTACGAAAGTCTACCGTATCGTTTACTTCGAATCGAAAGCCCCGAGGACCTGACGCGTTACCTGACGAGTTTACCTTCAGGTGAATTATTTCTTCGGGGGGAAAAAAATTGTTTTTATTATAATCGACAGTGTAGAAGAAACAGTAGGGGCGTTTCAGCGAATCGGAGGACCGGAAGAAATATAAAGGAATCCTTTTAAGAACCAAGATGAACCCGTCTTCGTTTAACGTAAGACAAAGTTACGGTGTGATCGGTGTATTGGATACATTTAATTATTTCTGCGACGATAAAATCTCCTATAATAAGATTCAACGTTCCTTTTGATATTTCAATGGCAGGTGGATATTATCCAGGCTGAGATGTATCTGAATTAATAAACACGGTGTCATTAAGAGTCAGAAGATTAATTATATAAAATTTGTAATTTAAGTGCAATCTTAGACATATTTTCGTTTAAAAGAATAGATTTTTTCAAGGTCTCCTTAACAACCATTTATATTTATTCTGTTGACAAATAGTATCTCTACAGCATTCAATCTTATTTATAATTCGTCCTATACGCAGTCAACTCAACAATTTACCATAAAGTCAATTCTTTGCAGGATTCAGCAATGATTCAGTAGGATCTGGAGAACTCAATGAAAAGGCATGGAAGAACGGCTTATCCCTGAGGATCTCCAAATGTTTTGTCGTGAGATTCGCTCACAAGAGACTTCTTATCGGCTTCTCCTATCCTATCGACGTGACGCTTACCGAAAGTGCTGGAATTCCTCGGAAACCATTTTTACAATTATTTTCATTTCGCGTCATTTTTAATCAAATCTCTGTTTCTCGCGTTATATTATCCAACGTCAGAAATGTTTCCTCCAAGGCTCTCGGATAAGCTACTGGACTGTTTCCTCTGGGGTTCGTCTAAATGTAAAGT